TGTACCAAACACAATTACTGGTCACGTGGCCGTAATCATTTTTGAAGGTTCTATAGCCATTTTGATAACTATAAATTGACTTGTCATGGATTTTATTTATATCCCTGGGTAGTTAAAAGAGAACGGAAGAGGTTCAGTGATTTCATTGGTCAGGTGTTGATCATATTAAAATTCTTTCAATCGCAAGTCTGAAATTTAATTTCAATTATTCATGTCCCCCGACATACAACTGTAACAAATTTTACATTGAATGTCAAGACCTCAACAGATTCAGTTTTATGAATTTATTTTACAATACATACCTTCGTCACCACAATAGCGCAGCTTGAAAAATCAATTTTCTACAAGTGATTTTCCATTTAAATATATTCAGTTTATAACTATCCAGACTTCGTGAAAATAAACAGGTAAATGGGAAATACCTGCAGGCAGTTAAGAATATTACAAACGATGTGTAACTTTTTGTCTTTAATGTTCATAGAATTTTATTGTCTATCCTTGTTGGATGGAGTTCTCAACATAACGGAATAGGATAAGGTGCAATTATTTCATCTTCTCCTATTTAAGTAAATGCAAAAGAGCTATTGTTGTACTTAGTCAAAAATATTTTTTGCCAACACGATGGAAAAAATCATAGTATAAATTATTGCAATGAGGCATCACAAATAAAGCATCCTGGTCACTTAATGCATTACCCGTTGAATATTTGATCTCATGAAACATATGCCTTAAGTAACCTAATAAACCGAGTTATTCTGATCACGTTGGCGCCACTGTCATGGTGGACACGCAGAACTGATCAGTATTTGTCTCACACAACATTCTCGATGAGTTTCCATATTTTTGCCTCTTCCTCTCGATTTTACAATTTTGATTTTTGTTATAGATCGTGTCCTGCATATTTATCTAAATTCTTAATTATATAAATTAATTGACATCACAAACTTTTTCGCTTGTTTCTGAATGAATTTGGAAGACACGCAGTTTTTATGAAGAAATGGTGTCATGTCCCTAATTTACAGGGTGATTCACAACTTATCCAAAAAAAATTGGGAATAGATGCGGCATGAGAAATGGAGTCAATATTGTAAAAAAAATTTTGTAAAATCCTTACAGTTTCTGAGAAAAAAATTATTGAAGTTATAGCACATTAAACCACTACATAGCTGGACAACTGTAGTCTCTAGCATCATTCGCCACGTGGCCTCATCGACTCCGAATACTGAATTCGGATTTTGCAATCGTCGTTGCGATATTTACCTGTTATCTGTGGTTTTTATAATACGTTTTTAGTAGTTGGTGTCAAATGGGTAGTTAGTGTCAAAAATGGTTTATGTGTACTCGGAGTTGAAGCGTTTGTGTTATGGTGAAACAAGACTTCATTTGTGTTAGTTCGTAGAAAGTGAGTAAGACGGACCCAAATGTGTTTACACGTGAGTGGATAAAATTTTGAACAATTGCTGTTGCAGCATGGGGTATGTCAAATGATTTTATTATTTAAAAACGCAAATTAATTTTATTAATAATTAATAAAGGCATTTGAATTTGCCGATATAAAATAGGTGCGATAAAATTCTATTTACATATTTCTTTCCTTGCGAAAGTTTTTGTCCGTTTTTCTCACGCCGCCATACCGGTCGCATTGTGCGAGGTCAGGTTTTACAGTGGACCAGTTTCCAGTGCCGTGCAGAAGTGTATTTTTAAATCAATTTCGAACTGACCTTTTTGATTTTTTCTTTACAAAATTGTATTTGTAAGGGTCCCCTGTACATCCAGAATTTTTTTTTGGATAAGTTCTGAATCACCCTGTATATTTACTTGTGCCAATTAAGTTCTAATATTTAGATATTTATTAATGAAACATCATTTAGAAAGTTTTACAGAATATACTTACTAAGTATAAATGACCATAAGCTGGTAATATTTGGAAACCTGCAATATATTTTTTTATGAAATAAAAAAGCTCTTTGTTTGTGAGAAGTATATGTAAATGTTAAAAGCTCAACATTACTGTCCAATGATAAACCTACCTCCGAATAAATTCTTATTGAATAAACTTTCGAAGCTGTTGCTTTGTATTTCACTGACAAAAATAAAAAAAAAATATTAAATGGACATTGAAATTGAAAAAGCAAATAGCTTTTTTGTGAATTTGGTATCGCTGCAAGTTCTCTTTTCTGGATACTTTCTAACTGTTCGAATGGTATATTACTATTGCAGAATTATAATTCCAACAATATTGTTTAAAATGACATCCCAAATTTATTTTAAGTGCACAATACTTTTTATTCAGAAAGCAATTAAAGTAATGTTTTCAACTCATTAAATGAATTATGTGTAACCTAGTACCATGTTTAAGGAACCTTCCAAGAGGTTTCCGATATGAAATTTAAATGTTACTGAGGGTTGCTTTCGCTGTACAGCAAGAAATAAACGCTCTCTCAACGGTACTAATAAAGAATTTTATTGAAAACTGGTGTACAGAAAACTTGTGTATAAAAAGACGTGTTAACAGGGTGAATGTTCGTTGGAGAGTAGTTGGAGAGTGCCTTGTGGTTGAAGTCGGTCGTATACGGGTACGCGTCTGGTGGCCGGCGCCAACAGCCCTTCTTGGAACACTGGTTCGTCCGGCGGCGTCCTGCGGCGCTCTTGACGTTGTGCTTTCAAATATGGGTCACTTGCAACATGTGTACCCACAGTTACCTAATAAGTTAGGCTGGTTTAATTTTACCCCAAAAATGTTTGATGTGAGTAATCTGATCTATTTTTTCGTTCGCTTTTTATCAATAACGGACTTAGAAAGTGAGCTCCTCTTATCTTAATTGAAAAGACAGTTCTGAGATATACAGAGATTTTCAGCAGTACTTATCTATAACTAATTATTTAAAACTAGAACTTCTGAAATATGTATATTGCTATGAGTAATAATCTTTTTCTTGAAATTCATTTCATTTTCGAGCCATACTGAGTGATGTGAACAATATAAATCTTAAAAAAACTCAAAATATATTATTTTACACTGTTTCCTTAATAATTTTTGGAGAAATTGGAAATATGTTATATTTATTTATCTGGTTGAGTTATATCTAATCCTGAAATAACAAGTATGGAGGAGGAAATCGCTAACAAGAATGCACTAAAATGCGCGTTCATAACAGTTCTCATTATTACTCGAATATTACTAAAATATTCACGTTACTCAAATAATACAGAGAACGTTATCATTTTTTGTATAGAAATTGTTATTATATGCAAAATTAAATTATAATAAAAAAAATCATTTATCGCATAAAAATATTTATCAATTAAAATTCTAATTTCCCGCCTCCTCAATCTAGGCACGTGTTATATTTCGGTCTTTATCCTTATCAGTATTTGGTAGGACTACCTTGCGGGAGCATTTCTTGCGACTAATGTGCGTGAGCGCACAAAAGATGTGATAAGCAAATGTAGGTACCTTTCAAGTAATGAATGTCTTTTTTGATTATTTATGAAGTTTAATATACATACTTAATTGTTTACTTGTTTACTTAATTGTTTACATGTGTTTACTTTCGGACTAGCTGTCTTTGAGACTTCTTGCTGAATTCCGCAAAGAGTCCTTTTTTAAGATGCCAAAGAGAAAAAATCAAGAACATATTGTATTTAAACACAAACCGCATGAACGGAAATTTGGTAATATCCGAAAACAATACAAACTTCAGTGCTCTGCAATTCATGGACCAGTAGCGTCGCTTCCTTAGGTAAAATTCTATTTAAAATATAGACTTAAAATAGCGTATCTAATTAAATTTTTGCTAATTAATATCTATTTTATACGGAAAAGGCACATTACCTAAACAGAAAATATTTTTGCCTTAGAAATAAAAGTATTTCAAATTACTTTTAAATCAAGTAGGATCGTTTCCTAAAATGCTTATTTCGTTTTTATTTTTATTTATTTATTTGTTTCCTTCAGCTCAAAATTTTTTGTTGACATCTAGGTTTAGACTATCTAGAGATTAAACCGTAATTTAGTCTTACTCAAATACTTGGAACTAGTTTGGCCGGTAATGTTGATGCCCTGCTAAAGACGTACACTTCGACGACCTTCGAAGTTAATTACTTCAAATATAAATTTGTATTTTACATTGTAAATACAGTTGTTCTCTCCCCCTATAAATATATTAGTAAGTATCTTGTCAATTGGACATGTTGGCAAAATTGAATCGTATAAATAAACAAATTTAAATAAATATAAAAATATTAATTAAGGATTATTAATTTTACTAATAACTATTTTTACATAAGTAACCTACTATTATCTATTCTTTTTAAAGATCGTTTAGTGTTATTATTTATATAATTAATATAATGCATATTGAAATTCTTCGATTATAAAAATTGTGCTAATACTTATTAATCGGTTTTTAAATTCCTAATCGAGTTTTTCCAATATATGCTAACGAATTTAACAAAAAACAGCGCCTATTTGATTTCATCATAAGAGGAAATACGAAGATGTTTTTTGTATTTCCGAATTTGCGCAGATTTATGAATTGATTGTGAAAGGACACCAGCCTTTTTTAGAAGGTATCGTGTAGATTTGGCCTTTCTCCGCAGATAAGAGGTACTATTATAAGCTCTTTTAATGGCGCATAATCATGATCGACTTACCGCTCATTATTCTTGAGTTCTAGCTTAGATATAGTTTAACATCTAAAGATGAAAAACTATTAAAAATTTCCCAAGTTTGTTGGAGGAATGGCTTGACATATTTTAGATTCTTTTCACAATATCAAATATGTGTTAAATAAATAGCAACGGCTAATTAGTTCAATAATTATGTAGGATATTTAATGATCTTCATTAGTTTGTCTGAGCTTTCTATTACTTATTTTAATTAATTAATTAATTTTCATTCTATAATTAAAAAAAATATATTCTGCAATGGTATCTATTATAATTAATTTAAGTTAAAAGTTGTTCACTGCATAATAATCCGTGTTTCTTTGTTACAGACGAAGAAGAATAATCCAAATCACATCAAGAGACCCATGAATGCGTTCATGGTGTGGTCTCAGATCGAGCGCAGAAAAATCTGTGAAGTATCTCCAGATATGCATAACGCAGAAATCTCAAAGAAATTAGGCAGGCGTTGGAAGTTGCTCAACGATGAAGAACGTCAGCCGTTTATAGAGGAAGCAGAGCGACTCCGTCAATTACATCAGAAAGAATATCCAGATTACAAGTATCGCCCCCGAAAGAAAACTACAAAACCCACGCCAAAAATAAATACAGTCAACAAAAAATCAAAAAAATCTAAAGTACACAAAAATGATACAAACAATAATAATGCAGGAATTAAGGGTAAGATCTTCGATCGTCGCTCTACTGTTCCAGAATTAGTGGCGTCCAAACTAAAGTTCAAGCTCACACAAGAAAGGCTAGAACCCAGGGTATCGAGGATAGAGCCTCAACTAGATTCAATAAGACAGAGCGTACCTCAAACTTTACCTCCTATTAGTTTTTTGGCCAAAGTGCCATCCAGCCCATCCTGCGATACTCCAGATTCTCCTGAAAGCGCTACTATCTATGAAGACTCCTGGGTTCACCAGTGTTTGGTGAAGGAGGAACCCGAGGATAGGTTGACACACCCCAATGCAACTCTTGATGATCTGGACAGGATCGACGACTTACTGCCTATGGACGACATCAACCTGGAGGAGCTCGCGGACATAGAAACCAGCTTCGATACGGCCTCAAACAGTTCAGGCTCACACTTGGACTTTGCTTGTCCACGAGATATACCTATATTTTCAAATATAGAAGCCTGGAGCGATGATTCGTTTATGATGTGTTGAATAGAGACTATAAGACTGTCGTTGAATTTTATCCTGTGTGCAGGCACATACAATCATTGTTATTAATACCGTGTACGCGGTGCAGTCCATTCGTTGCCAGCCAAGAGGCCTCAGCACTGGCCGTGGCGACGGTTTTATATTATAAATATATTATTTAACCCCAATAATGATCTCATTTTGCGTTTATTATTTTTGTATTTATCATAATAGGGCGGTGTACCGCATGGTTCGTCACACGAATTTCTGAAATTAACCAGTTTTTAGTGCCTCGCTCAGTACCATTGTCGGATCCGGGTAACCCGGAATTAATTTCGATACATTTTTAACCGCTCCCATCCTTACGGAGGCGGAACACAAAATCAGGCTGTGATTCACCTGTTTGATGACCAATATTTAGTTGTCAAAATCCGTATAGTCTTTAACAGTTCTGCTGCTGCTTACTTGTCAGTCCGGGTGCATTTAGTTGCGAATAGTAAACAGCTGAGTGATTGACATTGCCACTCAGGGGAGGTATCCGTCAACCTCCTGGTCACCTCGTGACTCAGAATTTTTTTCATATTACTCGTTCAATCTCAATCTCTGTTTGACTACTTTTTATGTATTGCAACGCGTAAATTACATACTAAGTATAGGGACATTGATATATTTTGGGAAATGTGTTTTTCTTGACCGAAAATAATTAAATTCCAGAATATATTTTCAGTGAGTGCCGCTCAAATATAAGTAGTACAAAAATGTTTAGTTATATCACAAAATCCCTGGTGGCACTGGTATTTTGTTCGCTTAGAAACATACTCTTGTTTTGATGTCATTGGAAACAACTTTTATTTTAGTTTAGTGAATCGAAGATTACTGTGCGAGTTTTTACAAAGCGTCTCAAAATTTTCGTAACATATATTTAATTAAATGTGCAAACTAACTCAAGATACTTTTATTTTGAAGAAAAAATGGAAATAAACACCACCATCTGTTTTTCCTATATCCAGATCGGAAACTGTTATATAAAAAAAGTGAAGTAGAAAAAGTCCTACAATCAAAAGTTATTTCCAGAAGCATTGAAACATGGATATGTTTGTAAGAAAAAAGTACAAAGTGCACTGAAAATTTTGTACTGTTTTCAGAATGTACGTCTTCAGTTGTTTTAAGGAAAAAAAATGCTTTTCCCAAGAGATATCGATCACCTTGTGAGCACATACATACTTAGACACACAGATACTTGCCTATCAATTATTATTAAACCATTAATATCAAATTTTTATATTGTAAGTGATTTTATGAGTGATTTATTTCTTTAGTGATAATTAGTAAGATAATATTTAATATATCTTTTTAAATTATGATTAACTTATTTTATTACCTATAATTGTATTAGATTTTTTTATCATACCTAGTTCATATACACAGTCAAAAATTAATTTGTAGTTTAGTCGGTACATATCCCAAATATATTTAATTAACTTATTAATATTGGAAAAATTTGGGCAATGGAGTGAAAGATGAGTACGAGGTGCCATTATGGTTGTCGAACATCAACCGTGAACGCAAGTCATCGAGTTCTCAACCCTTGTCAAAAACCGTCTTAATTGGTCATTCAGGCATCAATTTGTCGACTTTTGTAACTGGTTATGTTTTCATTGCATTTCATTGAAATGGTTTCATTCGTTCGTCCAGAATTGTACTTAATTATTTGAAATCTGTACTGTACAGCTGTAAAGATTAAGCAAGCACTGTCGGTAGTAATAGAAGTTGATATTAACAGTCAGATATCCAGTAGGCTAGGATTGTTTGTGCTGCTGTCGGACATTCGGTTTATACTTCGTTATGCACATGTCTTGTATATAATATTATTTATCTATGACTTCCTCGTCTTATTGCTGCAGATGGATAAGTGAATATAAAATTTAGCCCTATGTATTTTCTACAATTTCCTTAAAAAAATGAATCGTGTAACACTTGCGTTCGTTCTACTTGTTAATAAAATTGTCATTGTTTCTAAACGGGGAAAATGTACTATTTTTAATTTTACAATCTATTTGAAGATTTCAATTTTCATGAGAAAATCATAGAACGCAGCTTGGGGCTAATTTCATAATCACGAAGGGTATAAGTGTCGATTTCTTGACATACCTATGTACGCTTACTTCTATTTCTTTCTAATGTATTCCAGAGTCAATGCACAAACTTAATAAAATAAAAGATAGTATATAACGTTTTTCAAATTTACAACTAGAATAGTAAGCGACATCGATATTCTTATATAACATGATATATCGGAAGGCGTGGTAAACTCGCCAACGTGTGCTTTCAGTGTACTAGAAATAACTATTATAAAATAGTCTAATCGACAGTGGTTCCGTTATTAAAAATACCTTAGAACTGAGATATTATTCTATCATTTTATTTGTGATCCTCAAAACATCTAGACTTCAAACTGTTAAGTATTTATTGAAACAATTTAAGTATACTTAAATGACGCACAACAGTCAGTTAAAACTATTAAAAATTGTATTTTGTCATATTATATAGTCTCGGAAGTTATCCAATAATTCTTTCAGACTGACTAATTGATTGAAAAATCTTAGTTACCACTTTAGGCGGTTATTTTTATCCTTTTATCCTCTGTCGATTAGACTACAGTTAGATCGGACTGTCCGATATATATATGTTTTCGAATTTTAAAATTTTATGAGGCCTGCCTGGTACAGTATGATAAAGTAGAGTAACATATTCGGTGTATTTTTGTACCCAATAATTGTTTACGCGGTGCACCTGCACGGCTGCCCAAGATGTGCCGCCGCTGACTGACTTAGATGTAGAATTTTCTGTTAAGCACTGTGCTTTTCAGACGATAATAAAGTTCTCTTTAATTTTGCGACCGTTTCTTGGTTCGATTGTCATTTTGGGCCTATAGCTCTGCAGGTGCCTTCCGCAGTTTGTATATACAATGTAAAAATTGCTCATGTAAAGATTGTTTTTGTTAAAACTGTACTGTTTACACAATCAGTTTAAAATCATCGCAATAATTATCTTTAGATCTTCCAAGTCGACGAGTCGCGTGCTTCACCTTGGATATTTTCGAATCCGCGGCTCGGACTTGAGCAGATAGATAGTAAGATGTTTCGTGCGACCGTTTCAGGCCAGAAAATAGAAAAAAAATATATTTTAGGCACAATGTGTAAAAATTCATACCTTTTAGACTTTTTTAAATATTTATTATTTATCCTGTGGATTTTCGCGCGAATCATCTTTGATTTGTAAGTACGTTATTTTGTCGCATTGTTAACTTCTATTCTGGCGAACGATTTAAGAGATTAAAAAAGTTAGCAATATTTTTGCATTTTACCTTGATGTAACATAATCCCCTGCATTTGTAAATCTGCCCCATGTACTATATTCATATTACTAGATATATTAAAGTTATTATATAGTGTGTACATTTTGTATTGTAGTTGCTGTTAAATATATTATTATATGGCCAATAAACAGATTTTTTCAATTTATTTTTTTTGTCATGAAAACACGCTGTCTTGGTTCAGATCGATTCGCTTCACTAACAGAGGATTAATTGGTTGTCGGAAATTTTTAAACTCGTTCTTCTCGATACCAATGACCGAACTTTTTATTGTTTGCCGATAAAATTTATATAGTGATATACCATTTTTATTGTGACAACTTATACATATGAATGAAAATAGTATCTTCACAAACAAAATACACATTAACATATAGGTACCTAAATATGGCTTTGAAACAATTTTTTACTGTATGAAGAAAATAACACTACATTTTTTTAATCAAGATAAGTTATGGGGACTTATTAAGAGCAAAAATAAGGTAAGTATGTAAAAGAACAACGTACGTCTAAATTAAACTGATTTTGTCTTTATCTGCAATATATGAATGAATACTGACTTCAAATTCTCACAATAACTAGTTGATACATAGGTTATCCTCTTAGAAAAAATATTGTTTATGTTCTTTAAATTAATGATTTGTCAAAAAAAAATTGTTGATTGAACTATGGCGGTTAAATCATCTAATGTAGAACTTTGCTAAAAAAATCAAATTCGTTTTTTAAAACAAAATTTTCTGTTTTTTATATTGTTGATTATATGTTTATTAATCTAGTTGGAACAAATACTTATTATTTTTATCAAAAAAGATAGATTGTCAATCAAAAGTATACTTAAATTTCAACCAAAATTGAAATCGGAAATATACAGATAAACATTTAGTCTGACGTTGGTTTTGTATAACTTTAGTAAGCATACAGGGTGTTTATTAAGTACCTATTTCAAACTTTAAATGATCAATCTTTGACTAATTTTAAGATAAGAAGTTCATATGAAAATGGGTCGCAACGTTCTTGAGACAGAGGGTGTCAAAAAAAACATTGTTTAGTTTAAATAAAATAGCAATTTGACGAAATTCAGGAAATTGGGAGTATTGTTGAAGAAACTCAAATATGTACTTAGTTTTTTGTTTAATGTTAGAGGACGCTACATAGGTACATTGTTGTACCTAGATTTAAATAACCATAACTTTTTTATGTCGCACTGTAAGTTATTTTTGTCTAAACATATCTATTCTCCATTCAATTTTACGTACAGAAGGTACTCTTAGGACTTGTCGCTGAAAGCAGCCGTTTTGTAAAAAACGGGTTCAAAGTTAAATCTGCCTTGGAATTTTGTAAGTTGAATCATTAAGAGTTTTTGAAAAACAAGTACCTACTTCTCCAAATTACATTTACAATAATTGCTGAAACAATTTTTTTTGGACGTTCTCTATCTCAAGAACAAAGCTGTTGCGGACCCATGTTCATATGAACTTTTTATCTTAAAATTAGTCAAAGATTCGCCCTTTAAAATCTGTACGGCTACTTAGTAAACACCTTGTGTATATTTTTGTTTTTTGTACTATATCAACTAACTCATCTACCTACACCTACAAGATTTTATGATTTTCTTAATTTATTTTGTATTATAAATTTATTAATAGTTAAATTAAGTAGAGATTGTAATGTGTAAATCTTTAAAAAGGAAAGTGATGGAAAAATTAAATAGCGGTTTTCACTAATATAATGACCTATTTAATGCATACATAAGAAAAGTGGTACCTACATATATGGATGAAATGTCAATAAACATGTTCTACACTAGGCAATCCCAAAATTAGTCTTATGGTCGATTTTCATTTGTCATCTGTGTATCGTAGGTAATGACTATTAGTAATAATTTAGTTACCTACATTTACATTTTAAAGATAAGCTCTCACTTATCCGCTGCGAACGCAACGCACGCACCGGGCGAATTGCATTTTTTATTTAGTGTGCGCTGTATCCGGAACGCTTCGTTTTATCAGTGCTGTCTGAAAATTGTTAGTGAACAGTGTTTAGTCCAAGTTTGCATGCTGCTTTTCGTATAGGTTGGTACTTATTGAGTGATAGTGAAAAAGACGTAAGTATTATTAGTGCCTTATTAGAAGAGGAAGAAAATATAAGGAAAAAACACAATATATGCAAAAATTAGTTACCAGAAATTTAGTAGTCTTTTAGATATTTTGCGATATTTTTTGAATTGCGTGTCGTCATTAGATCGCACCGAACTCGCAGCAGAAATATTTCCTCTGAAGAATGTCGGCTGCAATTTCGGTAGTACGTTTCGTACAACTCGAGCCAGTTAGCGCCAATGCATATAAAACAACATAAAATAGATTTTGTTTCGATTCGGGTGGTGGGTGCGTTGCGTTCGGCGCGGATAAGTGAGCGCTTACCTTAAGAATCGAAAATAAATATATTAAACAGTTTAGAGTTATAATCAAGAATGCAGGCATGGTATTGATAAAAGAATAAAGTTAAGCGCTCACTTATCCGCGCCGAACGCAACGCAGGCACCACCCGAATCGGAAGAAAATATATTTTACACTCTTTTATAGGTATGCATTTGCGCTAACTGCCTTGAATCGCACGAAACGCACTACCGAAATTGCGGCGACATTCTTCAGAGGGAATATTTATGCGGCGTGTTCGGTGCGTGCTGATGACGACACATGCAATTCCGGTTAGTTGCACCAGTCGCATGCTTTAGAAAATTTGGAAATATTTTGTATTCAGTCACTTTAGGAACAATGGTCCTCAAGTAGATCATGAAATAATGCATGAAATTTATTTAGAATGAGTGGTTTTTTGCATGTAATGTGTAATGTATATATCTTTCGTTTTTTCCTTATATTTTCTTCCTATTCTAATAAGGCGCTAATAATAATTACGCCTTGTTCACTATCACTCATTAAATATACGAAAAGCACAATGCAAACTTGGACTAAATATTGTTTACACTAATAACTTTCAGACAGCTATGATAGAAAAGAGAAGCATTGCGGATACAGTGAGCGGACACTAGCATCGATCGACTATGTATACGGGTATAAAAAAAGCGATTAGCACGGTACGTGCGTTGTGTTCGGCGCGGATAAGTGAGCGCTTACCTTAATATGTACAGTAGAACTAGAAATACATATGATAAACTTAAGTAAAAATAGAAGTAATTATAATTGTCAAGCTTTCACAATTGTCAACTAATAATATTTTCTAGATTGAATCACACAATATTTTGTAAATTATGTATGTATTGAAAGAATTATGTAATAAAAAAAAGAAACGCTGTTATGTATGTAACTTACCTGAAAATATATTTTGGCCCAATTTTTCGGCGATAATATATTTTTTTTAAATATCACTTTGTGGCAACTTATTTGCACTGTCGCTTAAATGCATTAATTTAAACATTAATAACAAATATTTTTCGTTTTCTTTATATTCAAAGGTAGGGTAATTTAACAGAAACATTACCAATAATAAACAGGAAATTAATAATTTCTGTAAATTAACGTTAACATTGGGAGCCGCATGATTTCATATATCTATTGCGACGTAAGCCGTTGAGAACGAAGAGTCGTTAATCATGCACGATGTTTTGTATCCATTTACAAGGACAAAAGATAATTTTAAATATACCTTATGATTCACTGACCACCAGCTAGGCCTGAGTTGTTTAGTGGCTTTGCGGTCATTACTCTTGCGTCTACCAATTTTTTCGTTTCCTCTATCTAAAATATTTGATTAATACTGTTATGGAAATAAATAGATTGAATTAATGATTGACACTATTTGAGCAATTTATAATGAAAATCACATGGAACAAAAAATAAATTCGTGCGTTATAATATGAAAAATAACAAAAAAAATATTAAACAAACAATTTTAATTATAATAATACTTGTCTCTTATGCATTTTTGCACTCCGTTGTCTACAAAATTCAGGATTAAAATTATTTTGTCCACAATCACCTTATAATCGGACTTTTATCCACATATGTGTACCGTCTAAAGTGACACTTATCCATTAGTAGAATAAAGTAACTTTATTTCACTAGTAGAATAATAAAATAATAAACCTATAATAAATGAAATTAAATTTATTTACTTATTAACATTAACATTTACATTTATAGTAAGATTTCGTTTTTTGTTTTATCACATTTAACTTCCTTTCCGTTAATAAAAACACTTGTAGCATTGTTGCCATCATTTTCGGAACGCATAACATCTACGGAAGTTTGTGAAGAATTTGCACAAGTTACGGATGTTTCTTCTCGTAAGGAACAGCTATATTTTCCTTGGATTTCTTTGCAATATCAAGTTTGTTAGATATAGACTCCTCAACATAACTTTCTGCTACAGAGGAGCTCTTCCATCAACCATGCCGTTTGAGGGTTATAAGATCAGCACTTTATTGGCCAATAAAGTTGTTGAAGTGCGCCTCATACAATGACTAGTATATTCTTCTGGATTTGCGATATTCAAGAGTGAAGCAACTATTGAGGGTACCTTCGCCAATGTGTTGATTGCAATAGGCCGAGAAGTACATTTTTGATTGATGTATCTTAAAAAGAATCTGTTTCGTGTTAGGTGAATTGGGCGTAGAGAAATATATTTTCTGCATATTTCAACAGCATTCACGTAAAATCCTTCTTCTATAATTGCAAATTTTGAAATGCCCGTCTTGGTGTCAGATGTTGAAACAAGTAGGTAGGTAACTGCCAACGTCCTGTACGTCACTAATTTTCAAATTTGTCAATTCGCAGCACTAGTAGTGCAACCTAAAATAATTCAAAGTTCACTATACAAGGTGTTAACGAAATAAGTACTCAAAATTGGAGAGTATGTAAAACATGTAGAAATATGATGAAAACCTTAGTAGAGTTTTTGTCAGTGACGGACCCTAAGAGAGATACAGCCCCTTGAAGGGGTAACTCAGGAAACAGTTTTTATTGCATAACTTCAAAACGGTCTAATACTAAATCGCGAAATTTTGGGGTTGTATTACTATTTATATGCTTAATAATCGGCATTATATACAAATCAAAATTTGCTACAGGGGTGTAAGAAAATGCGGGATCATGGGGCAAATTTTACAATTTTTTTTTGTAGACAAT